AAGTCAGTTTCTGCGGGGTTATCCCAGGATAGTCTTTATTTGTAGTTCTTAACGTTGAAGCCAATAGAACACCTCTATATAGTCTTAAAGTCCTCCGCTAACTTAAAAGGAAAATCTTTTTTAAAAGCTTATTAAAAACAAATGTGAATGAACTCTTTCTTCCCATTGTTAGTTTCCTCTTCACATTGCTGTTCTTTCACAAAATGACATCTAGGAGAGCGAGTTTTTATATAACCTAAATACAGAGGATCTAGGAACTTACAAGAAGAAAATTCTCATTGGTTGACATCTACAAAACCGTGGCAAGACTCTGAAGACATTATTTTGCTGATAATTAAGCATGAGCAATGTAAGATGAGTAATTACATGGATTTCCCAAGTGCTAGTCTCAGTGGATGTTTTTGCTGAGATCTGCTGAAAAGCAGCATTTTAAACAGAGTTTAAAATAAATGGTATCATAAAGCAACATCAACAACCACAACAGAAGTGGAATCTGGTCTGCATCTTTACAAAAAGGCTCTTCTTGTATCAAGCTTTTTTGGTTGCTTGACTCAGGTAACTATAAACAAACAACGTACTTCCACTGGGTTGATTCTGACTCATCGCCATCCTGGAGGGCCGGGTATAACCGCCCCTGTGGATCTCCGAGGTTGCATCTCTTCATGAGTAGAAAGCCTCGTCTTTCTCCTAGGGGGCCACTGGTCGTTTCAAGCTGCTAACCTTGTGGTTAATAGCCCAACAAGTAACCCACTCTACCACCCCATTTCTTTATTCAGGTAACTACACACCTAGACTTACCTTATTTCATTTTGAAATATTATGATATTTTCTTTCTAAGACAATTATAAGAGAAAATTACTACAAGCAGAGGTATTAGAAAATTTATGACTGCTTTCTTTCCTCACGAATGATGACATCAATGTCCTCCCACAGTCTTCAGTTCTGTCATTAGTGTTCAGTGCAGGTTGGTTTATCATTATTATTGATTTTGATTATTTTTATTAGACCTGTCTATCCTCCTAGGTGATATTTGTAGAGTGAAAATGTTCATAGGGATTATTAACTTTCATTTCTGAACATAATGGGACAGAGATGCCTTTGTGGTCTTCTGTTCTCATAAGACAACTAAGGAAAATAGAAAATGAAACTATCCTTACAGTAACTCTTTTCTCTTGCCTAAATAAGAAATGCTTTGGTCACTGGCCATAGCAACCACCCATATAAATAGATGCTCTGAAGGACAGCAGACTCAGAGAGGCCAGAGACCTGGACTGCAAGAATGGCACACGGAAAGATCTCTCCTATGGAAGCTTCTTGGAACATTCATGAGAAATTCCATATAGATGAAGATCTGGGCTTTGTTCTCCTAAATCCACTGGTAAGATAGGGTATGGGATTGTGGTCAAATGTATTTTCTGCATATTGCCTGCTGTGGCTAGCTAGTTAGTCATTGGATTAGGTTTCTGAGATGGCACCTCTAGCAACTTTTGCGATATCTTAGAAAGGCTTGTTAGTCCTACCTATGGTTTGGTTGTCTCAGCGAATATTTGTTGTTGGCTATTTTATCAGCAAAGAAACTCCAGGCATATAGACGAGTAAATATATGTGACACAAGAATTGCATTTTCCTACTTGTTTTTGAAAGAATACCATGTAAACCAACTTATCAATAATATTTCAATCATCAGATGCTTGTATATCAGTTTTCTAAAGCAATTTACTTATATTAACCCATTTCAACCCCATGAACATCTTAAAAAGTATGCATATTATTATCCTTATTTCCCTTATGAGATCGGTGTAAACAGGGTAGTCAGACATTTAGCAGTTGTCCAAGCTCACACAGTTATTAAGTCCTGGAGTTAGAACCTGAGATTTAAGCAGTCAGACTCCATTGTGCTATGGTGGGAAGACAATGCCTTGTATTATTATTATTATTTTTAACATTATTATTCACTCCTGCGTTTAATATGTTATATGAAGTTCCAGGAGAGGATTTTGGACTTCTTTCAAGCAGTTACATCTTGTGAAAATATGGTGGGAAAACAATGCCTTTAAAATTATTATTATTAATTATAATTATTATTAACATTATTATTTACTCCTGGGTTCAATATGTTATATGAGGTTCCAGGAGAGGATTTTGAACTTCTTTCAACCAGTTAAATCTTGTGAAATTATGGTGGGAAGACAATGCCTTTTATTATTATTAAGTATAGGTATTTATTAATTATAATAATTATTAACATTATTATTCACTCCTGGATTTAATATGTGATATGAAGTTCCAGGAGAGGATTTTGGACTTCTTCCAAGCAGTTACATCTTGTGAAAATATGGTGTGAAGACAATTCCTTTTAAAATTATTATTATTAATTATAAGTATTTATTAATTATAATAATTATTAACATTATTAGTCACTCCTGGGTTTAGTATGTTATGTAAAGTTGTAGGAGAGGATTTTGGACTTCTTTCAACTAGTTACATCCTGTGAAAATTTTGTAAATTTATACAAGCTCATCCCATTGAGATATAAACCCTATAGGACATGTCTATATAGTATTAAAGCTCTCAGTGAACTGCACTTAGAAAGAACATCTTGTAAAAAAGCATGCATGGGATAGATAAATGGGAAGCAACATTTTCCTTCTAATATAAGTTTCCTCTTTAAATTGTGATTTTATGGAAATGACATGCCGGCTTTAATAGTATTACTAAAAGTGCCTAGTTTGATTTGCATGCACAAATCAATAATACTCAGACTTACCCT